CTGTGGGTAAATGTGAATCTCTTCTCCAGCAGTCATCAATTAGAAAATTTTTAAAATGTAACTAGGGGGTCTGGGGATTTAGCTCAGCGGCAAGGCGCCTGCCTGGCAAGCGCAAGGTCGTGAGTTCGGTTACCGGTACCGGAGAAAAACCAAAAAAAAAAAAAAATGTAACTAGGTCTCATATTTTGTACAACTAGATCTGAAAAACATCTTTGTCCAGCTGTTTATTTCAGGGCTATGGGAGTGAAGCCCAGAGAAAGTGAAGTGACTTGTGCAAGGCCAGGAGCAAACCTAGGCTTGAAGTCTGGGTTCCTGAGTACGCTGTCCTCTGTTCTGTGCCAGCTAATACTGCAAGGCCTCCAGACATTGAAACCGATAGCTCTTATTTGCTTTTGGTTTGGAACATAATTTTGAGGGGGTTGGGGAAGAAGTCTTCAACTTATTTTTTTCTTAAAGTTAGTTTTTTGCATTGGCCTGAGGCGTTTGGTTATTTATTTATTTATTTATTTATTTATTTAGTGGTATGTGGGCTAGCACCCAGGAGCTTCACACAGAGCTACATCCCCATCCCCATCCCTTTTTTATTTTTTAAGATTGAAACAGGGTCTTGCTCATTTGCCTTAAACATGCCTGTTAGAGTTTAGGAGCTTTTCTGTCAGTAGATTAATGTTGTTAATTTATTCATGGTGCAGTAGATTTGTAGATATTTCTTGTAAGCCCCTCCGGAATGATGAAACAATAACAAAAGGGATCATAGTGTCTTTCAGACTTGTTCTTTTGACTGACCTTCATCAGATTTATTTAAAAATATAGCTGGGGATGGTGGTACATGCCTGTAATCCCAGCACTCGGGAGGTTAAAACAGGAGGATCACCATGAGTTTGAGACCAGCCTGGACTACATAGTGAGACCCTGTCTCAAATGAATGAATGAATGAATGAGAGTCCCTGAGCTAACCTTCAGAAATGGTTAGGACATACCCTGACATAGTTGAAAATATGTAGAAACTAATCAAAGTCTGTATTTTTAGGTCAGCAGCACAGTGGCCATGGAAAAAGAAAAACTCTACAGCATATTTTCGAGGATCAAGGTGATTATTTTTTGTAATTTCTTACAAAGGTATTCGTCTAAACCATGCATAAAATATAAGTAATCTTGAGAGGATGATAAACTGTGGTTCAAAGAGAAAGCTAAGAACTAAGTGTGCAATCACAGACTCTCACACTAGAGAAGAATCCAGTGATTTGCCCACATCACTCTGAACTGAACTGAAATTCAGAGAAGCAAAGCTCAGCCTGCAGTCATGCAGCAGCTGTTCGGAGCGTGCGAGCGTCGGGGTAAACAGAGCAGACAGTGTCTTCTGATTCACGGTTTCCTCAGAGTAGCCGGGCTGATGCCGCAGCCACTCCGCTGGTGACTGCCGCTTGGGAATTGTCTTCCTCTGTCCTGTACCCTGAAGCCCTTTGGCCATGTGGTTGCCAAACAGTGCTTAATAGAGCATGGAGAGGAAGGGGCAAGGCGAGAGAAGAAGGAAAGGAAGAGGGAGAAGAGACACTGTGCTGTTCAGTGTTCTATCCCCACTGCCAGAACAGTGCCTGCCTGGAAGGTGGATGTATAGTACGTGTGGGGCAAATCAACAGAAAAGACCATGCATGATAGGGAAGGCAGGCGTGATGGTGTGCATCTGAAATTCTCGCAGTCTGGGAGGCT